AAAAAAAAACACACAACGCGTAATATATCAAGTTCTAAAATCTCTGAACTTGCGAGATTTATCAGAACTTCTTTTTCAAAAATAAGACCGATTTATCAAGAGCATATTTTTTATGTCTTAATATGCAAATAAGCGTCGAGTCACATCGAATGGTAGGTACTCCCGTTTCGGTAGCGAAATATTGAATAATAAACTTATGCAAATCTCATTCTCTCCTTCCAGTCGAACTGCAAAATTTTATGGAGTTAAATATCGTCAACGTTTTGTAAGAAAGAATAATTGAATAGTTAAGCACAGTTATCGCCTTATGTAAAATGAAATACTACGCTATGTCAATAATTTCCTAGTTACCGATTTAGACATAATGTTTTTTCATCGTTGCAAGATTGTTATATAAAAGAAACGATTATCGATTGTCGAGTCACGATGGAGAACAACTCGAAGTAACTTTTGCAACAAGCGTACTTACATCTATAACGCATAATTTATCTTGCTCTTGCGTGCGTAATATTGCGAGACTGTCCTCTATTACGCGGGCTCTATAAATAGATGGAACAAGCAAGTTGAATAGACAGTCTACAGTTCAATCTCGCTGCTGTTCCTTCGGAGACTACAATCTCGAGGTTCAGTCCGTTGTGACTTCTCTCTCTTTCTCTGTCTGTCTCTCTCTCTCTCTCTCCTCCATTTGTCGAATAATTCGCCGAGATATTTCGCCTTGCTAAAACTGACAAGATTATTTCAACGGTTGTGTTTGTAATTTACAGTGTATAGTTTTACAAGGAATTCGACGAGTGCTCGTATCATTTTTATAAAAATAGAAATTTATGGAATTATTTGCTACGCGCGTGTCTATTGAGTGCAGAGATGATTGTGTAAAACTACAATATATTATATCGTAGAATTCTAGAATTTTAGAATTAATAAGTTTGATTTTATATAAATAATCAATAACATAAAATAATGTCCGTTAAATTTTATACATATGTTTGAAATAATATTGCAGATTATTTAGTCTTATACGTTAGTTACGATCGGAAGCGTAAAAAGCCCGTGGTTTACCGTTAAAATTTATTTCATGTCGCTGGAACATCCGACACGCAATCGATCACACCGGCTAATTTATTAATAGTGCGTCGCGCGTCTTTGCAGATTTCAAAATGCCTATTGATCTTTACCAACTTCCCGGAAGTGCGCCGTGTCGTGCCGTGCGTTTGGCGGCGGCAGCGGTAGGAGTGGATCTAAACTTGAAAATCACTAATCTTATGACCGGTGATCATATGAAACCCGAATTTCTTAAGGTAATCTGAAATAATGAATTCCACAGCAAAGCGTTCAAAGATACTATAAACAAATACTAGAAGATTTTTAATCATAAACTCGTAAAGGATTAATGTTTATAAATTTAATTTTTGATAAAAAGTATTTATACAGGGTGAGTCAGTTAAAGTGTTACAAACTTATATCTCGAAATCAAAGCATTTTAGAGAAAAATGTCTCATACAAAAGTTTTGTGACTTCGAAGAGAACATAAGACGGTATAATTAATTTGACCTTGAATAGTCCTTTGAAGATCACATGAAGATAATCTTTAATTTCTTAAAAGAGAACCCCCATTTCTCAATACACATTCTTGTAGCTTACCTCGAGAACTTTTCAAAACACTATAATAAAGTATTTTCCATTAAGTACTTTTTGAGTTATTTTATATCTTAATTTGACATATATTTTAATGTAAAAAATAAAATATTTAGTTTTCAATAATTTTACCGTAATACTTTTATGTACAGAATAATGAGACAAATCAATTGGTACAAGAAAAAATAATTGTTTTTAAGAAAAAATATGTAATTATTTACAATGTATTTTTTTAAACAAT